GTATATTTACTCCAACCAGTCTCCAGTTTTATAAGATACATATTGTAAGCATTATTGATATCTGTCGCCTTCTGGTTTTCAAGCTTAAATTTACAGTCTTTAACCTTTCTTATATTCGTGTCCTTCAGTGGCTCAATGATAACCTTAATGGCTTACAATACTAAAAATTGGATGGGAACAGCGCAGATAGCCTATTGAGTAAATTTGCTCTTAAATTCAAACAAAACAAAAATCTTATATACAATATAATCTTAATGTGTGTGGCGAAACATTATAAAGGTTTCTCTGTGGCATTATCTAGCAATCCAAGCTAAATTGATTCCCGAGAATTTGTTTCTTGTGTTAAAACTGTAGAAGTTCTTATAACTTACGTGAAGTTTGAGAATTATTTTTGTATCAGTGACGCCACCTGGTTGTTGATATAGAGGATCTTTGGAGGTTTCAAATGATTTCTAATTGGTTAAAGAGTTAATTGTTTTGTCTTTAATAAACTTTGACCTGTAAAGTTACGAATCATTTAAGATAAACTAATCTCCAGCTAAAAAGGCCCCCCAGTGTCACAGCGGTATGCCTGCTGACTTCCAACACTAGAAACAGAGTTTCAATAGTCGTGGTGGGCAGAGCACAGATAACTCATTGTGTAGCTTTGTGCTTAATTACAAACAAACAAACCAGTTAAAAGGTATTTGGCTGAAATGAAAATATGTAAGTGGCGCTATCTTTTGGTTAGAATATTTTATAGCTTCTTCTATTACACAAACGTTACAATTTAAGCCCTTTGCCATTTGATATTTTCAACCTAAACGTCACATGGGCTTAATAACCGGATCAAAGACTCCAGGTTCAAGAATAACCACTTCTAATATCGAACAGCACTCCAAAAAGGAGGGCAATCAGTTTGCATTACCAGCCTCCTACGCGAGTATTCTTAACCAAACAGTGAAACTGACTGTCAGACTTATAACGCTAAAAGCGAAGCGTGTTCAACAAAATATCAGATATCGAACCTTTAACCCTTTGATCCCCAACGCGGCTCGCTAACCCCTGAGCCACACACACACACACAGTCTCCCAAATTTGAGTGCATAAATCAAATTTCGTGTTATAGAGGTTGGGCCTGTGAGGAGTTTAGGTATTTGGTACCTAAAATGATAAAATCAAAGTTTTGTAGCTTACTATAGTTGAATAATTCAATCAACCCACTTCATGAAAGAATTAGCTCCCATAATTTAAACCATTAATCAGCTCCATCCATTACAGCACCTGATGAACTTCTAGTCACTAATACCGAAGGTGTTTGGAGTTACAGTTACAGTCACTATTTTTGTATTCAACTCTCTAGCGCTGCCAAATATCACTATGTAAAAACTGGTCTCTGTTATCGAAAGATCATTTCAGGTAAGATTTTTCCAAGTGATACATCATTTAGTTATCTAGATTATCGTAAATCTTCATTGTTGATTAACTATACGCATTATGATAGTTTGCTGTTGTCAATTTTGCCTCTTTTCGTTTTTATCTAAAATATCGTTCTATATTATTTATGAAAATTATTAATAAAAGTTATTAGGCACAGAAGGTTTCATGGATATTCCATTATAGCGTACTTTAGCGGTGGCAACTACATCACTGTTTTTCCACTGATTTGTGCACATGGTGAAAATCATTAAGTATTTGAGACTTTACGAGCAGTCGATAATAACAATCTTTCCTCAAAGCCCACTATATAAAATTCGGCTTATTAGAGTTTCTGTTTGTCATGATATAAAAGACTGTTTGGTTTAAATATTAGCGATTAATTTATATTTGTGAGTGAATATTTTATTATTTTAAGGTTTTGTTATAATAAGATTTAAAAGTACACGATTGTAGAATGTTTTGTTAATAACTAATTGGTGTCGAAAACATAGAAAGTGGCCAGACGACTATGTAATAAAGATATAAATAGCGTGAGACGACCGGGAAGCAGCAGACAGACAGCATTAGACAGACAAAAGCAAAGAGAATATACTTGGTGTAAAGTGAAGTAACGTAAAAGTGATAGGCCTAACGACTGACATAGACCTAACGTTTTAATATGTTAGAGTGAAATTAACAGTATAAAAAAGATAAGAAGGATAATTTTATTCCATCAAAGCGTGGTTCTAAAGTACTTGAATCAGCCTGGGTACACTTTGACAAAAGGAACAGAGGATCTTCAGAATAAAGAAGACCAAACGAATTATGGTAACTTGTGCCACAATTGTAAGTGAATCACACACAGAATACTAGTACGATAGTAACATAGAGAAGATAGTTCGACTTATCAACTGAATTTCTAAAGTAATTGAATAGGCCTAAGTGGACTTTTGACAAGAAGAAGAGAACTATATATAAATATTGTTTATGATATGCCTGTAATCTCTACATACGTTTAATTTGTTCCGAATATATATATATATTATTTGAAAACAAGTAAAGTGTGTTCTGTTTATTCATCGTTGAATTTATCGTTAACAAGTAATAGACACCTACTCTAGAAGAATCCTAAGTCCAACAACAACATTGTATGTATTTATACTATTAAGAAATATAAGTAAAAGCCATTTATTTCGACAATTGGTAAAAAGAAGAATTTATATATATATATATATATATATTAAATCTGACACTGTTCTGGGTGGAAGCTATACAAAATTATATAAACATCACTCTACGATATTTCACAGAGTATTCTGCACAGAAAGCTTTAAACTAGTAGACACATTTAGGATGAAAAAAACAATAAATAGCCATCTTAGGATTGATTTTAAAGCTATATTAACTTTCATCATTTCATGAATAGCCATTAGTTAAGAACACTACCAATAAAACTTTATATTACTGTAGGTGGCGGAGCTTGCCTGATGTGTTATCTGTGTTCTGCCTACCACAGATACCAAAACACAATGTTTAGATTTATTGCTCCCCAGGTTTACCGCTGAGCCGCCGAGGAGCTTTAATGGACTGCTGAAAAGTAATGAAATAATAAGTTTTTGAAATGTTAGCATAATAAGAGGAAATACAATTTCGTAGATTTTCGGCAATTTGGAACTTTATGTATGTCCGATTTTAGCAGTTTTTACGAAACTTCCTGTTCTTAACTAAGCATGACACAGTAGACGAACCATTATAAGTAATTCTATCAGTCACTATAAAGTTAAGTTGATATACTCCATTAACAGCTGAACACAAATTTTATCAAGAACAACGAAAGTTGACGAATATTTTTCGACATAGTGCGTTCAGTGTGAAAAGTATGACTGTGAATTGTAAGGTTTTTGCATGCCAGTCCTGTTATAAAATTTGAAGCTAATTAAATAATTGTTTTTCACTTTTTTTGGTTTTTCTTTTGTATCTTTGAGATCTTATCACCAAAAGACAGACAACTTCTAACAATAATACCATCTGCATTTTGCTTTAAAGTGTATAAAGGATTTCAGTAAAATATTGATCGCAAGGATAATTTCATTCAGTTATGGCCTTAATTTATTGGTCACGAGAGTGCAGTTCTGGGTGTATTGGATCTACCGCCAGATTGGTTTAAGGCACGTGTGGGTGAACATGCCAATCTAAAGCCTGGAAACAAATTTAACATAAGAGATCATGCTATTCGTGAATGTGACGTGATGATACATTGGCCAGAATTGAAAATTATTTCAAAACGTAAAGACGAGAGAATTCTGCATTAAAGGACATTCTCTTCATCGACAGATTAGAGCCACAACTTAATAAAAATAGATCTGCAGTCAACATTTTACAGATTACAGCCACAACTTAATAAAAATAGATCTGCGGTCAATATTTTACAGATTACAGCCACAACTTAATAAAAATAGATCTGCGGTCAATATTTTACAGATTAGAGCCACAACTTAATAAAAATAGCTCTGCAGTCAACATTTTACAGATTAGAGCCACAACTTAATAAAAATAGATCTGCGGTCAATATTTTACGGATTAGAGCCACAACTTAATAAAAATAGCTCTGCAGTCAACATTTTACAGATTAGAGCCACAACTTAATAAAAATAGATCTGCGGTCAATATTTTACCAAAATTGTGATTGCTGGTCGTCCAATTAAATTTCGTTAACTAACGTATAAGGGAATTATTACAATAGCTAATTCTACTTACTCTATATACAACAGTTGTCAAAAAAGATACATTACCATATTTCGTCACAATACGTCGGAATTATACAAAACGATGCTGGAAATATATTTACACACAAGAAATTAATTCCAACAGGGAGTTTTAAAGAAGGGCTTTCCAGAGTTTGAAAAACACGAATATTTCTTGATATCACTGGTAAGTTTTGAGATACCGATTGAGAAAAACAAATCGTATTTATTTTTATATTTTACTGTATTTAGAAATATAACTGACAGAATTCATAAAAAAAATATTAAAGCACAAAAAAACTGGAATACACCACATTAAATATGATTTTTAGATAATATGTTATAACCCATAATAAGCTGGAATATATTTATTAGAAAAATAGTTAAACCAACTATGGGGTTTGCCTCCTCTAATAAACTTGGAAGTGTGCCAGGGGAGGCGCAAGCTTTGTGTAATTCTATTTTTTTAAAGGAAAGGTTTGGTGATTAAAAAGTTATAACAAAATTATTTAAATAACGAAGTTTCACAGGTTCGGGAAACATAAAAGACTATAAAAGCTTATAGGATTGCCCTGAATAATATATAGAGGAATACAAAGTAATGACAAAACATCACTAGTGGTAACGTGCATATTAAAATCAAAGTGTTGTCTAAAACGAACACAGTTCGATTCGTTATATGATTGTAACAATACTAATGTCGTAAAGTCAAATATATATATAACAGCTATTAATTTTCAAACAAAAATAATAATTACTTTTGTTCAATTTAAAAGAAAGTGATATTACCATAAATACAACAAATAGGGCTTGCCTGTAAAAAAAAAGGAAGAAAGAAGGCGAAGCTGCTTACATTTTAAACTCGATAAATCACATTTACTTCTTTTTCTTTACAAAGCTTTCCCCTTTTACTATAAAATACTCGCTTGTACTTAGACAGTCAATCTTCAACCATCCATACGACGTCTCTCTCAGTGATCTGAACTCATAAACTCTTCTCTCAACGCATTTTCTCTTGGGCTTCTTGTCACTGTCATCATAAAACCAAGCTAGATTTCTTGTTCTATAAAATACAAGGAGATCATATTTGATTTTGAAAAGCAGACAATGTGCTAAATTTCGTACACACTGAATCAAACGTTGATGGAATTTATTTATTTCACTCAACAAAGTGGTCATTCTAGAAAAATAGGACAGTCTTAATGTAATGCTAGAATTGCGTACGTGTTCAATATTTTCGACATCCAAAGCTGTACACTTCACGACCCAAGTGTAGCGTTCGTAATGTAACAGTTTCTTACACGCTATAAAAGTGTAACGTTACTAATGTAGCAGGTTTCTGACAAC